ATTAGTTGAAAGAAAAAACTCATTTAAGTGATGCCACCGACTAGAATTAGAAATAAAACATATATATAATACCTGATCATTCATATCTGTTCTTTTGGTTCTTTTGGCATTGCTGTTCTCGAAATCTGTAACAGAAATCAGGTGACCTATATATTATATAAGTCTCTTCAAAATGGCAGAATTCAAAATTTGTATTTTAAATGTAAAATTAAGTAAAAAAAACGGTTATGTGATTGCTGGATTTCCTATCCCTTCATATACATAAAATAAAATTAGAATTATGTCTGAATTATATATGCAAACAGAAGTGGCTCCATCATTCATCATAAACTGTTATGCACAATTGAACATGGAGTTTATAAATACATTATAATGATGATATTAATATACCTTCAAGTTTTCTTTTCCATATTTCATGCAGTTGGTAATCGTTGTCCTGGTCAACATTTGAACCTATCAAAGTAAAATAAGTGATGTTTAACAAGTGATCAGAGTGATTAATACTTGAAGTATCTTGCTAACATCATATATGTTCCTTGAATCTGAAAGGCATTCAACAGGATATAAAATAATTTTCTCTACTTCGTTAAGATTTTCAGCTATATTCATGGGATCTTGATTTGTCCATGGAAAATAACATTAAATTCTCACCATTCCTTATTTTTTTTGCTTCTCCATCTATGCTTTTTTGTTGATCATCATTCACAACTGTCTCATGATCAGCGGATCCAGATGTTTCATAAGGATTTTTAAGATTGCCAAGTGATTTGTCCAGGTTATTCATCCTCTCAACCATGACAGATCTGTTACCTGTAAAGTATGACATTGCAATATAACGTACCATAAATTATAAACTACTTCATCAAATCGAAGAGACATTCAGATTAACTACAGTATCTTTAACATTTTCACAAGAAACCAAACACTAAACGGTATTCATTCGGAAACTATCCAATTTATTAAATAAAAATTGTCAGTTGTTCTACCACTTATCACATGACCATGGGCCATTATCAACAATTTAATGTCAATTTCAGAGAAAAAAAGGTGGGCCATCCAATGTAAAAAATACTCAAAATTGTCAGAAAATCGAGAATTGGAGGTGACAAACTCAGTTTTAAGAAGCCAAGGGCCCCTTATACTATGAACCTGAGATTTGGAGGTATTTTTAATGAAAAATACTACAAATATAGTTATCGATTTGGAATTACCGAAAATGTTTGTGTTTATAATAATAAAAAGCACTATTTTTAAATTATCTCTGAATATAATCGAAGCACTGCCATGTCCGCCATTTTGAACCTGCTATCGAAAACATAACATGTGCCTGTGATTTCAACATTGTTGAAAATATTCACCGCTAGTCTGTCTCGAGTTAACATAACACAAACTTTAGTTATTACCAACTATTCAGATTTAACAACAGAAAACTCTGTTTAGCCCTGGTCGAAATAATCTTTGATAGGGCCTAGTACTCACCGTCCAGTTCGCATAGTCTGGCACTGTACAGTCGTCCCTGAAACTTTGCGCGGATATATTCTCCTTCTTTGTATTTGTTTTTTCGTGGAAAGATGATCTTGCAGGTGTCTATGACGTTGACACAAAAATCCTCCCACTGAATCAAAGCGTACTGCTTTTCAATTTCCATGTCCAGTTTTCAACGATGCAACCAGGACTTCTGATGCACCGATGGGTTTGAGATCATGAAGGGATGAAGAAGTAAGGTTTCGCGCCAAACAACTGACCAATCAAGATACGGGTTACTGAGATGCTGCAACGGCCTCGTGAGAACTCGCAACGGATTGTATGATTTCAATCGGAATTCGATATGGACAAAAAAAATCCTGATATGAACATAAATAATGAAAACATTGATTTACCCTCTTTGAAAGTAAGCTCCCTCTATACTTTTTATTGTGTATTTATAGTTTTTCTTTGGGGCATGCGCACATCGACTTCCATTGTTAACTTCCGGTAGAGACGACACGCTGAATGGCCGTAGTTAAAACTAGCAGTAAAGCTGAATTCGATACTGCTTGAAGTTGGTAACTAACCTAAAAAAAGCTCGAAGTCATGTAAATCCAACGTATAAAATTCTTTCTCGAGATGGAGGACAGTTCGTCAAGTGACAGCCCTGTATCTACAGATGAAGAAAATAACGTGGCGAGTTCAAACGATTTTAAAACCCCCAAAAAGAGGAAATATAGACGTTCTTTGCACCATGGGTTTTCTTCAAGAAGGGCAAAGTACTACGATGTCACACCAGATAAAAACAAAGAACTTGCTTCTAAAAATAGCAGTACTTTCACCGCATCATATAGATCTACAAACGTGGAAAGCGAAAGCGTTTTCGGGCGGACTGTCGATCGTGACTCTTCTATGATAAGTAATGACTTCGTCGACACCATCACTGACCAAGTTTACTCAGACGTTCCAAGTTCTGACACTTCATCAGACTCTCGTCTTTCTACAGAGAGTGAAAGCGACGAATATAACCCTAACGAAGAATTCACTTCATCAAATGAAAGTGAAAGTAAATCCAACTGGAATTGCCCACTGTATGAGGGTTGCAAACAAACAGAAATAACGTCTTACACATTAACCATGCTTTTTGTTATCAAACATTCTTTATCTAATGATGCATTTGCAGACCTCCTACAGCTGATATCTTCGCATTTACCATCGTCTGTGCCCTATTTCAAATCTGTGTACAAAGTGAAGGAAGCCCTGAAAGAAGCAGTCAACTTTAAAAAATTCAAGCTTCATAATTATTGTGAATCATGTCAGAGAAACCTTCCAACGGGAGAAACATGTAGGGAAAGACTCTGCAGACAAAACAACGGAAAAGTTCTGAATTTTTATGATTTACAACTAGAACAGCAGCTCAAAGATTTATTTAAAGGTCAGTTTTCTATTTGCGATTGATTATTTTTTTGTTCTTGATTTGTAAAAGCCACCCGTGTTTAATTTTGTTTAACATAAGCCAACATATAATGTGCAGATAATTACAGGACATACAAATGAAACATATTTATATATCAGGGTGACTTTCTCAAAGTAAACACAGTCTCAATTTCATAAATATCTTTGTATTTTATGATTGAGCTGAGCATCCTTATGTATACAAGTCTATCAAAACATGATCCCTCATCTTGTTTTTAATCGTAATTTTTAAGATTTTAGTACAATGAGCTTTTGAAATTACATACAGAAGCCTTATACATTTATAATTAACGAGATAATTATATTAGAAATAATCCCACCACCCGCCACAGAAAGTGGAGAGAATTTTTTCATTATTTCTATAAATATTTTATTATTCATGCATGTATAAAATGCCTTCCATTTTGTTGCAGATGAACAATTTCAGAAGATGATAATCAATCATTCAGAAAAGAACAGTGTAGATGATACATTGGAGCTGTATGATATACAAGATGGGAAATATTACAAAGAACAACTGAAAGAAATACAACAAGGTGCAGACTTTTACCTAACCTTCACTATGAACACAGGTAAAGCAAACCGACAAATAAAAGTATGCACTTACGAAATGTGACCTATTGCTATATAGTACAGATTCGTTATCACTATGTTGGGTGTCAATTTGTTTGGAGGTAAACAGAAATGTACATCATTCATCATATTGAAATAGTAACATTCTCCCTTATCAAATTCCTTTAAAGGAATAGAAAGTGAATTTTACTTACATAAGGTTTATTGCAGTTTATCTGTAACTTGCAGTAATTAAATTAATTGGCCCAAACAACTACATGTACATTTTGTGTTTGGTGTTTCACTGTTTGCCAATTTTGCATGTTCAGTAATTATTATTATTACAGTAATCAATATTAACATTTCTTCCCAAAATATTTTACAGATGGTGTTTCGCTGTTCTCTTCCTCCAAGAAAGGATCACTCTGGCCTGTATATTTAGCTATCAATGAACTTCCTGTCAAACTCAGGTATACACTAGAAACCACATTATGTCAATCTCAGTCTGCCAGTATCTATAATGGCAGCACAATGCCCCAATGATATTGAAATTTTAAATTTGTGTTGAATTCTTTTTTCTACTGGTAACATTTGTGGCTTCATTCATTAAGGGCTTTTGATAAAATTTCATATTCTTCTAGAGTGCCAAAGGTTTGAGGTTTGTAGACTTCATTTTTTTATTTTTATCAAAATTCCAATATTTAATTCAAAGTGGTTATCTTCAATTGCCATTACTCAAAGTTGAACCATAAGAGGATCTGTATAATTTGTGATGCATTGTTTATTAATCATATTTTAATTTAGTTTACAAATTGTCCATATGATATATTCTTTTATCTCTTTTTAGATTCAGCCGGAAATTTCTGTTGCCATGCTTATTACATTGTCAGCTTGAAAAGCCGAATATGCTTACTTACCTGACTCCCTTGATGAAAGTCCTTCAAAACCTTGGTTCTAAAGGTATTTCATATTGCATTTGACTACTATTCATATAAAGTTTCCTTTGCCATTTTTTACTCTTTTACTAACCCTGAGCAGTACTGCAAGTAATGTTGAAAACTGTATTGCTGTTTCTTTTAAAATAACATGCTCATGTAAATTCTGGGCAAATTAATTGCCACTTTCAAACATTTTTGATTTTCGTAATGTAAAATGACCTTCGATTTTTGAGTCAGTTCTAAATTACATTATTCACCAAAATATTATTATTAACTATGTAAATGTTACATTAACAATTGAACAAGGGCTCTTCTGACTTCATTGAATTTGCTGAGTGAAACTACTAAATTTCGTTAATCCTACAACATTTATCAATTAATTGTAGGGATTGTTGTTGAAACATCAAAAGGAACAGTATGTGTCAAGGGTCATTTGATAGTGGCAGCTCTAGATTTACCAGCTCGAGCTATGGTGGCAAACATGAAGCAATTCAATGGGAAATTCTCTTGCTCTGCTTGTTTTGATGAAGGGGAAACTGTACCGGGAAATTCATTGCACAGATTTTTCCCATACAAACCAAGCAGAATGAGGACAAAAGCTTCTTTCACAAAAGACGCAAGAGAGGCAGTCAGAAAAGGGGATGCTGTAAGTAAACTGCATCTTATATTTGAACGAGGACTAGTACAGTACATTTCACCTAATATCACGTCTGTTAATGTCAATGTAGTGTGATAGCATGATAACATATGCGACATCCTTTCCACAAGTTAAATTAGGTGACACATTTACATTTTAAGCTATTCAATTTGTCAGTTGGAATAGGGTTCATATTCATCCTCAAATCCAGCTGAAAGAAAAGTCCTGCACTACACTCGTAGTTCAGTACGTAAATTATGAGAATGAAATGTTAAACAACACAATTATTTCTCCCAATTGCTTTCTCTTTCTTTTATTTGTATACAGAATCTTCACAGGTTAATATTAGTCTTTCCATTCATTAACAAATTCATCAGTGGTAATCTAATAAAAAACTGTTAAATCTGCAGGTGAATGGTGTTAAAGGAGTGCTGCCATTCATGATGCTGCAATATATAGACCCAAGTACAGTTTTTCCAGTTGACTGGATGCACTGTGTTTTGCTGGGAGTCTGCAAGTCATTGATGTCTTTCTGGTTGAATGCCAAGTACAAGCAAAAAGACTTTTTCATTGGGGATCGGGTAATAGAAAATTTCAATCTTTTTAAACTGCTTAAGTGACCTGTTTCTTTGCGTCATCATCTTAATGCAGGCCTCACAATTTGTCTCCATGGAGGCCTTAATCCTGTTTTCTGTATAGTTCCTTTTTTTTTCAAGAATGAAACCGTGTTAAAAGAGACATGATAAATTCCAAGATCAAGGCATATACTGAAATACAAATAATAAGAAATGACAATATGTGGATTTGCTGTGGTAAGAGTTGCAACAGAGCAAATTTTAAGATAACATCCTTTCTCAACAAGCAGTTTTGTTGTGATAACAGATGAGTTTGCTGAATAAAAGACTGCTAAGCATCGTTGTTCCTGACTTTGTGGCAAGAAAACCAAGAGGAATGGAAGACCATGCCCATTGGAAAGGTATATTTATATAGTTAATGATTTGCGTTTTCATCACAGTATCATCCAGATAAATGATGTTCCTCCTTTGGAAGCTAGGAACAGAAAAATGTACAGGTTCGTTAAGCAACAAAAATAGAAATACAACATAATGACACCAGTAAAGTTAAGACAACATGATGGCAACAGTAAGGTATTAAACGACTATTTTATATACTACACTGTTGATTTTCCCTTTGTTTTGTAATTGTTTCAGCTTCTGAGTGCAGAGAGTGGCTGCTTCATTTTTCTGTGCCAGTTTTACATGGAATTTTACCTCCGATTCCATATGTCCACTATCTTCTCCTTGTTACTGCTATTACTTTTCTTACAAAGTATGGTGTAACGCTTGCAGAAGTAGATCAGGCGATGAAACTCTTGGAGGAATTTTTAAAACTATATCCATTGATTTATGGTAAGTACAATCATGCAGATAAATATATACACTAAATAGCTAGTAGTTGGCACAATTTCTGAAGTCCCACTATCCATCAACCGTGGACTAAACCCAACACAGGTGCCACCAACCTCCCTATATGAATGTGAAATATAAATCATATATACATTGAATATCATTTACAGCCCTTGCATTCATTATGTCAGAGTATACAAAAATAAAAATGTGATTGATTAACTTTGCCTTTCTCCTATCATTTGTTCAATTTTTTTTCAGGAAGGGAATCCCAGACAATGAATGTTCACTTATTGAAACATTTGGTCTTTTATGTAAGACAGTTTGGACCATTGTATACATTCTCTTGTTTTGGCTTCGAGTCGATGAATTGTTTCATCAAGAACATGGTACATGGAACACGTCATGTCAACAATCAGGTATTATTACAATTACAATGCTTGCATTGTTCTTTTAACTTTTCCAGTAAAGTATTTACCCTACAGGTATACTCCCCAGCCTTATCTCCAAAAGAAGTAAATCATTTTAACAGTGCTATACACTAACTGCACTTCCTCTTACTCTCACCTTTGTTTTTTTTTCAATATTTGAAGTCCTCAGTAGCTTAAATCTTTACAACCATTACAATAGCTCTAAACGTCCTTTCTGAGGCTACTATTTGTAAGTTTAGGACTGAAGTATTTATGAAACTGAGCAAAGATGTTTAAACAGAAAATTAAACACATTTACCATATTTCGATGGTTACAATCAACATCTTGAACTCCTCCTTCACCTACATTATTTTATCAATCACCCCTAATGCTAAATAATGGATCTCTACCTGTTCAACTTTTTAATTCATAAGCTGCAATGTTTTAATTCATAAGCTGCAATGTTTTTCTAGACCGCATTATGTACAAATTATCCTTTTTCAGATCTGCTTTGCAGTTGGGATGTCCAAACAACTTGCACCGTTGATAACAAGAATCATTAATGCAAGTGACATGATGATTGGAGCACTTGCCAAGAGATTGGGCAAAAAATTTTTGATGTAAGGAGGAACATTATGTCTCGATATCGGTATCATAAATAAGTACTGTAACGCTTGCAGAAGTAGATCAGGCGAAGAAACTCTTGGAGGAATTTTTAAGTATTTGAAGAACTGTTTATGAATTTGTGTGATCATTTCTTATTGTATCCTTGTCCTAACTACTAATCATTCAAAAAGCCTGTAAAGAAGTGATGACAACATTACCTTATGATTTTTGTAACACATCAAGCGTTGATGGAAATGGATTACTAAACATTCTGATTAATAGTTTGCTTGAATTAATTCTAATTCCACTTTTGGTTGCAGGGAGAATAAGTTGGAATCCCAAGGTGACAAAATTGAACCTTTAGGCTGCAGTACTAATGTACAAGGGAACAACTGTCACTACAATCTGCTAACAGAAGTAATGAAGAGGTCATCTCCAAAACTCTATCTGAGAGTACAAAAAGGGGACACAGTTTACTATTCAAAGGAATATAGAAGAGCGAAAACCTTTAATGCCTACTCAGTTTGTTTTCTTAAAAATGGAAACGAGAAGGGTTTCGGTATCATTTTGTGTTTCATAAAGGTGAATAATGAGGTATTTGCAGTTATGGATGTTTGTGAAACCAAACCTTTCACTTTGGAAGTCACTATGTTAGACACTTTGTGTGATGTATCAGCTACCTTACAAAGTTTAACCGACAGATTGTGTCCTCATTTTGTCCACATACTGTCACAGAATCGGAAAAGGCTGGTCAATGTGAAATCTCTGTTGATGAAATGTGTACTGACTGAAGTTTCAGAAACTCTGAAATTTTTTAGTTGTCCTCCAAATCTTTTGGAACATGATTGAAATGAAATTGAAATCATGTGTAGGACTTTCACAAGGCTGTATTACTCAGATAATAATGATGCATTTTCAATGAACTAGATCACCTGGTTTTGAAGCCTGACATGATCTATATGATTTCATCTGTATTCCACGGTTGTGTTGTGACATTCATTATTATCAATGCCAATGTTGTTTGTCATTCATATCTTTAACCTTTATTCAGACCATGATTTTGAATCTTTCTAATCACGATGCCATCATTCTATATTGGCTGAGATATTTTAAAGTGTTACTTGTATTTTACAGCTTATTGATTTATATGATGCAGGTGGATATTGTACTGTTCAGTTGTGTTTTTTTCTTAAATCATTGATCAGATTTATCCATTGCTATCTCATACAATCCAGAGAGTTTCATAAGATGTATTAAGTAATAGGTAGGAAACTCAAACATATAGATATAGAAGAGATTTATTTCCAGGTCCATTTTTACTGAAATTGTCTCATTACTTAATAAAACATAGTTGAAAATGTCTGAATAGCTGTTGTTTTCAATCAGCATTTAATTGTATTGTACCACTTTTAAAATGAAAAGTAGTGGTGTTCTGTTATTAATATATGTC